AAAGAGGGACGTGAGGGATCAGCGAGGGGGTCCCTTGCAGGTATGGTATGTGAGAAACTTCGGTGATATATCCATGACAGAGTGAGATGGTTTGGTGAGTCTATCTCAACAATATATAAATAGGATATTACGTAGCTAGCAACTACTAATTGTCAATCTGTCAACTTAATAGTAAAGACACTAAACACCCGATAGCACTGTATTAGCCCTCCTCCCCCGATCTCAGCATCTCAGCTACTATTCTCCGAATCCAGTATGACTGCTCTATACCCCTGCAGACCCAAGAATGCGCCGACGCACGATCCCCGCACCCCAGACTTCCCCTGCACCAGTGAGCAGTAAGTAGTTGGCAATTAGCTGACCATTACCTACCTAGGAGTAGTTAGTGCTCCTCCCACCCCAGAACTCACCCCATGCCCACCAACACCAAAAAATACTTAGTACTATCGGCATCTACACAGCCGACCACCCGCACCCGCACCCACTCGGCAACCAATCTCGGGTCGGGCGGATAAACGGTCCATCCCAAACTCACTCCAACATAACAATAATACTAAAGTGCTTTCATCCCCACCCCACCACCCCTCCTTCCATCCACATTAATGTTTATCTTCCCCAAACCCCGACCCAAACCCTCCATCTTCAAACTGTAAGCCAATCCCCCTCCTATTCCCTCCCTAATAACAATCATACATCTAACACATCACCAGTAAATCACTACAATCACGAAAAATGCGCCTCCCCTACGCCCCTTCCACCCCCCCGGACCCCACCGACCTCCCCACCACCGAAATCTACTCCCGCATCGCCGCCCGCCGGCATCCCCGCCCCCTCATCCCCCTCGACCTCTCCCTGCTCCATTCCCCTCCCGTCGCCGACGGCTGGAACAGCTTCCTGGGCGCGATCCGCACCCAGACCATCATCGATGGCGGATTACTCGAGCTGGCGGTGTGTCGCGTCGCAGTGCTGACCAATGCCATTTACGAGTGGAATGCGCATGCGCCTTTGGCGCTGAAGGGCGGGATTAAGGGGGTGGAGTTGGGTGCGGTGCGGACACTTCCCTCTCTGGCCGAGGGAGATGCGAAGGCGGAGGAGGAGTTGAAGGGAAGTCAATTGACGGATCTGCAGAAGGCGGTGGTGCGGTATGTCGATGAGATGACACGGACGGTGAAAGTGCAGGATGGTACGTTTGAGAAGTTGAAGGAGGTGGGGTTGTCAGATCGGGAAATTGTCGAGTTGACGACGGGCGTGGCGGGGTATAATTGTGTTAGTAGGGTGTTGGTTGCGCTGGATGTGGGGGAGAATAATGCGAAGGAGATGAGGAGTGTGGATGATTTGGTGGCGGATCTTGAGAGGAAGTGATTTATCGTCTAGTGTCTAGTATGATATAATGGGTGTATATAGTGGGTTGGTGGGGTGACAAGGGTATCAAATGTTTGATTTGTATGGGAAGTGGAGGCTAGCTAAGCCTAGTATATATATCTGAAGTGGATATTCTCGCGGTCTGTCCTGTCCTCGAACGCTCTCGCTAGATGGTCCTCGCCCTCTAGGGATATACCCATCTCGGCCATTGCCTTGTCTTTCTTCTTGTTCTCCCGGATCAGGTAGAAGCGCAGGAAGATCACCGCCAGTGTCATGGCGGAGTAGCAGCCGAGGTGCACGCCGAAGGCAGTGAAGTACCGCGGGGCGTCGCGGTCGAGGAATACTTGGGGGCCTACTTCATTAGTATATCTCTGGATCTATAGGGAGAGAAGGTTCATACCGATGGCGTTCCCTACAGCCCAAGACACAAAAGTCGCTGCCACAACAGTCGACTTCTTAGTAGCGCCGGCAATGTTCCTCGTCACCATGGACAAGCCCAAGTTCTGCGCGGACCAGAACGACAGCGTGATGTAGTAGCTGATGAGAAGACCAACTTTGGTGCTAAGGGAATGGTTCTGCACCGTCATGAGAACGATGGTTCCGACGAAAGATCTATTTCCTGTTAGTATCACACGCACACCTTCAAATTAGTATAAGAGAGGGCTCACGGAATGATAAATCCCAGCATCACCAGCAAGTTCTGCTGATATTTCTTGACCAACCACGCACTGGTCAATAACACAATAATAATGTAAAAGCCCAGAACCATCGCCAACAACTGCGTCTGCAACTCCGTAAAGTTGAACCCACTGATGATGATGTTCGCAAACGCTCCCAGTCCACTAGTGGGCAGCGTGGTAAAGACCTGAATCGCGCAGTAGCAGTACATCTGCGGATCCCGGAACGCTTCCCACATCTGGTACGCACGGAACTTCTTATTCTGCAGTCCGGTCTGATTGGCGCGCACACGCTCAACCATCTTGTGCTTGTCTTCTTCGGTAAAGCACTTGGCGCGCATTGGAGAGTCAGGCATCCACCAGACCACGAAGAGGCCCCAAAGCACGGAAATGCAGCCGTAGGTGAGGAAAAGCGCTTGCCAGGATTTGAGTGCACGGCCGGAGCCGATTAGACTGAAGCAGTAGGCTAGAAGACCACCGACGATTTGTTGGCCACCGTTCATCATGTACCTGTCGCCATGTTAGTGCGTGTAGATGAATGGTGTAGGGTTTGAATTACCAGAAGGTGACAGTAGAAGCTTGTTCTTCACGCTTATACCACATTCCGGAAAGAACAACAAAGGAAGGCTGACAGGCAGCCTCGAAGATACCAAGCAGAGTACGCACAGTCACTAGACCGGCAAAGTTGTGGCATGCCGCGTGTAGGGCTAGAATCGTCCCCCAGCAGACGATATTGAAGCCGAGGTATTTGGCGATACGGACGCGTTGGATGATCCAGTTGGTAGGGTATTCGACGATCAGGACGGCGATGTAGATGCAGGTAGTAAGCCAGGAGTACTATCCAGTTAGTATTTGAATGGACCAGATATAGGCTCACTCACCTCCTGTCCCACAAGATGAGCATCGTCTCGAATGCCCATAATGGAAGCAAACGACATGGTACCCTTATCCAGCGCCTGCAGAAAATATGTCACGATCATAATGACCAACACACGACGATCAATCATGCGGCGAAGACGCCGACTCTCGGTTTCATCGACCTCGATCTGGCCGCGCGTGGCATACTCCAACACCTCATTATCGACGCGAGCAGCATCGATCGGGTCCTTGAGTTTGTCGGTGGGTGACAGCACCCGCTCGACATGGGAGACATCTTGGGTCGGCTTGTGATCCTCCACAGCCGTGGAAGCTCCCTTGGAGTCAGGCCCGCCAGCGGGCATTGAGCTAATATTCTCCATAGACATGTTGTTGCCAGACCTCTAGGGTTGGAGAGGATCAACTGGGTCAACCCAGCTGGGGGACCGGACACCCTTATATCGGTCATGCGGAAGATAGAGTCTGACTAGGGCACGAGTGGCTGCTCCGTGGCTGCATTTTCACTCCAATGAGAGGCATGATGGGCAGGTGTGATAGTCTGATAGTCTGATGCCAGGGATGCCTGCGGGCTGGGATTCTCCACGCGTACAATCCGGGGGCGGACCCTGCCGCCCCCGCGCGGGGACAATTGGCCCGAGCCCTTCGCTTAAAAGCATTTCAGAGCCTATCCTTAGTTTAGCATCTTAAACGACCAATCCCTCTATTTGCCGAGCGAGCTTGGCAGGATTAAGACGTGGCTGCTCGGCAGAATTTAGCCCGAGGGCATTCCCCGCATTGCTGCTGGAGCTCGACACGAGGGGTGCTTCATCCCACTTATAGACACCGGTGTCACCATACTGCAGCACAATCAACCGCCACCTCAGCAAATCTCCTCGATTCCTCATCTCTCACCATGGCTTCTACATCTCCTCCCGCTGTCAGGTCCAAAATTGACCTCCTCATCACCAACCTCGTCAACATCCAAGACAAAACCGGTCAATTCCTCCTCCCCCTCGCCGATGGCCGCATCATCGATACCAAGTCCTGGCATGGCTGGGAGTGGACACATGGTATCGGCCTCTATGGTATTTGGAAATACTACGAGATGACCGGCTCCCCACACCTCCTCCAGATTATCGAGGATTGGTTCGCCGCCCGTTTTGCAGAAGGCGGCACCACCAAGAACATCAACACAATGGCCGTCTTCCTTACTCTGGCATACGTATACGAGAAGACGCAAAACCCTGTCTACCTTCCCTGGCTCGATTCGTGGGCCGAGTGGGCCATGCATGAGCTCCCACGCACCAAGCAGGGCGGAATGCAGCACGCCACATACCTTACGGAAAATTACCAGCAGTTGTGGGATGATACATTGATGATGACCGTGATGCCGTTGGCAAAAATTGGAAAGTTGCTGAATCGACCAGAGTATGTTGAGGAGGCCAAGCGTCAGACGTTGGTGCACGTAAAATACTTGGTGGATACGAGCACCGGGCTGTGGTTTCATGGCTGGACGTTCGAGGAGGGAGGACATAACTTTGCTCGGGCGAGATGGGCGCGCGGTAATAGTTGGGTGACAATGGTTATCCCAGAGTTTGTTGAGTTGTTGGACCTGAAGGAGACAGACCCAATTCGCCTGTTCTTGTTGGATACGTTAGAGGCCCAATGCGAGGCATTAATGGGCCTGCAGGAGGAATCGGGCTTTTGGCACACCCTGCTTGACCATCCCGATTCATACGTCGAGGCTTCCGCCACGGCAGGCTTTGCATATGGTATCCTCAAGGCTGTCAGGAAGAGGTATCTGCCAAAGAAGTATCGGGCAGTTGCAGAGAAGGCTGTTCAGGCAGTGTTGGGCGCCGTCGATGAGACAGGAGAACTGCAGCAGACGAGCTTTGGAACTGGCATGGGAGATTCTTTGGACTTCTATAAGAAGATTCCCTTGACAGCCATGCCATATGGACAGGCCATGGCCATCATGGCGCTGGGCGAGTATCTCCGGGGACACCTATAGAACTGTATTTTTCCTTTTTGAATAGCATATAGAGCAACAAAATCACCCTTTGATTAAGCCGTGAAGTAATGTTGTACCGGTTCAATGCTCCAAGATTAGTTCGTGTTCGTACATTCAATTCCACTCAAATTTGAACAGCATGATCCACTTCCACAGCTTGGAATCGGTGACGAAAAGCTCCCCCGCTTTCCGGAGGCGCTGCTGATGGGGTGGCGTGTACTGGCAACCCCACTGCGAAACTGGTGTTAGCTTCCTTGCAATGGCCTCCTGGGATGTATTACCCCGAAAGTACTCCCGCTCAGCCTTTTGGATCTTCTGAATTGGCTGGTCTCCCAGTCGGATGTCATTGTACACCTCGATAAAGCTTGAGGACAATCGCTTCTCGGTATAATAAGACCTAGCGTTCTTTCCTTGGCCAAATATATGTCCCCAGATGGCAGAAACAAGACGGTAGTCTTCAGTAGAGTCAAAGTTGAGCAACCGTGTCAACATCCACGAGCACTTGCCATGCTGTAGGATGTCAACGGCGATTTTATTGAATTCCGACTGTTCATTACGCGGGTTTTCCGTGATGGCCGATTCAAATCCATTTCTGAAGGCTTGAACGAGATAATCGTCCAACGCGTAGCGTGACTGGGGCAGGCCAGGAGGAGCCAACATCATGGCTTCTGGGACAGTTGAAGAAAATGCCCAGTCGATAATACAAGTGATGTTGAAATCATCGTCGACAAATATAGTTCCACACATTTCAAGGTGGCAGCTTCACTTTCGAGCAATTTTGAAATGAACTCCATTGACATCTTAGTGCCCTTTGTATGCGGCGATCGCAGTACCCACTGAAATCCATCCTCGAAAGTAATGAAAACAGCCAAATTGAAGCTGCCGCTCGCGGGATGTTGGACGGGGTTGCAAATGCATGGAATATTCTGTCGAAGATTGCTTGCAGTTTCACAAAGTGCCTGAGATATTGAATCTGGCCTACAGGAATATGGCGGGCCTCTTATCAGATAGCATGATAGTGTGTAAGACATTGCACAGTTCATGCTGAATGTGTACTTGGTAGTTGTAAGGTACGGGCATGCCAAAGGGCAGAATTCAAAAGGCGGTCAAAAAACATACGGAATTCACGGTGACCCATCTGGGATCTGGAAAGCCTTAAATCCGCTTAAATCCGGAGTTTTTTGATCGAGGTCGACTAGGTTCTGCCTCTATTGGCGGTCAAAGGGGCGGTCACGGGGGACAGTATTTGGAGATAGTTTGTGTCTGTGGTTGGTGAGCATCTACTTGGCTTCTTGTTCATTGAATACTACCCTAGAATGTTCCTGCTCATCTCGAGTCTTGACAAACCCTTTAGCATTGTGTAATGTTCTGAATTCGTATTTTCGAGTGCAATTCGTATATACTACGATGTGAAGTATGCCTAACGTTGCCAGTAGGAGAGCGCATAAATGAGCAAACTTCAATATCATTCGACAAGAGAAATCCTAGCTACTATCCCAGTTATCCCTCGACATAGATCTACACTCTTCATCAGAGTACCCATACCCTCAATCACCAACAGATGTTGTTATACACACACTTTCCATAGTATAATGCAGAAGCAAGTGTCTGCATGTCACCACTACTCTCCCACCTGATAACTCTTACTGTCCGACCTCACAAGAAACGTAAGTCCATAAAATGAAGAGCATACTCCAAGCTCCGAATCTCCCGCATACAACCCCACCCCGACTCCTTAAGCCACCTCATAACCCCAGTCAACCATGGGAGACCTGCAGTTCTGCCACCTTGCATGGAGGCATTTCCCCCCGCCGCAGACAATCGCGTCGGCCTAAAGGATCTAGGCATAATATAAGTGTGACGATTTTCCAAAGATCTTCGTAGACCTGAGACCGGCGCGCGGTACAAAGGACGGCTTTGCAAAGGATAGAAGATGAGAATGTTCCCCACAGGGAGCAAAAAACACACCTGAACAAGCGTCTCTAGATGCTTTAGTCTGAGGACGGACTTTCTCTCGTCGCAGAGTACCCCTAATGTCTTCAGGGGAGTGAGGTCATCCCTGACCGGTATACTCGGGGTTGGTGGTTGGTCGAGGAGCATTTCTCGCCAGCTGGCTTCGGGGCGGGAGTAGGGGTGCTGCTTCCGTCCTAGCCTTTGATGATTCGTTGTTTGTAGGGGCATGAATAGACGAAGCCAGTTGCTGCTATCTTGTGTGCTGTTGACTGATCTAGGGTTGCTGACGAAGTGCTTCAGGAGCTTGTCCATGAAGGGGTTTGTGGTGCGCTTGGGATTCTGGTCTTCGGTTGGTGACTGCTTCTCAGGGCGGAAGAATAAGGCTCTTTGGAGGGTCGGGGATGTCTTGATCAGTGAGTTCCAGAGGTGGCAGACGCGTTGGGAGAGAAGGAGGGTGGTTGCGTCAAGCTCCACGAGGACTTGTTCCAGTACCTCGGGGATGAGAACTATCTTGTGTGGTGATTCCATTATTATGGTTTTGGTGGTGTGGCTTTTCAGGTGGGGTTTGTTTATATAGTAAGTAAAGAAATATCTATCTGAGAGTAGATATTGCGTAAACGAGAAACTAGCTGTGGAGACTTTCTTTTGTTGTCGTCCAAGTTGTTGCGCTGGAGTGTGGTGTGGTGGACAGGTAGAGACCGAGATATCTGGACTTCCAAAGGAAAGGTACGTTCCTAATTACGTAGGGTATAATCGTTCATTCGTGTTGATGAGGTACACGACTGGCCCCATGAAGACGGGAGGATGATGAAATAATGAGAATCACGTAGAGATTTACCAGTCCCGCCTTCAGAACATCATCATTCGTATACACCGAGCCCCGGCTCCGTATATAGAGAGGGAAGTTGTGATTGACATAGGCCCTTATAATATATCCAATGTGAAGCCAGTGATTGTCCATAGTCACACTCCAGACGAGTTCTGTTCATGTCTTGTAAACCACCTACAATCGGGCCTCCGAAACATCAAGTCCATATTCCTCTGCCAGCGCATCTCCGCATGTCAAACCAGTCACATACGCGGTTGCCTGCGTGTGGTTGTTGGTCAAAACAGGCACCACACCCATGTCAGCGATTCGCAGATTCTCGACACCAAATACCCGGAACCGGCTGTCCACGACCGCATCGACATCCCCGGATTTGCCCATCTTGGTCGTTCCAGTCATGTGCCAACTGGACCCGAGTGTGTTCTTCCAAAACTCTAGGATATCCTCATCCGACTCGGACGGAGGAGCAATCAAGGCGGACACTGTGTCCTTCTGGAAAGACTCATGCTTCGTTACCTCTAGCGCATGGCGGTAGATCTCAATACATGCGCGCCTGTCAAACGGATGTGACAGGAACTTCGGGTCAAACAACAGCGGGTCTTCAGGGTTGGCTGACTGCAGGCGTACTTCGCCGCTGGATTGCTCGTTCATCAGAAACACGAGCATGCAGACGTAGCTGTAGTCTTTAAAGGGCTCGGGAGCGATAAGATGCAGTGGGAAATGTGTCATAAATTCATAATGTGGCACCGTGTCGCGTTGTAGGAAATCCCGCACAGTAGGAGGCAGTGCTTTGAATTCCTCGGATGCGACCAAACGATCCGATTTGAGCCAGCCGGCGCCAATCTGACACGAGTGACGTGCCCATGGCCCAGTGCCATCTTTGCTCCATTGTTCTAGAGCAGACTCCATGGCGGCCGGGTTGCCGAAGAAGGCGTCGCGATCGTTTGTTGTCGGGTTCCTTTGGAAGCACAACGGTGCGAAGAAGTGGTCACGAAGACCCTGACCTACCGCAGGTATGTCTTTGACGACGGGGATCCCAAATTGTCGTAGTTGGTCCGCTGGTCCAAGTCCCGAATGCATCAAGATCTTGGGCGTGTCCAGTGATCCGGTTGTTAGAATCACTTCCTTAGATGCGAGGTCTGCAGCGAGCCTGATTAGTTGGATCATTCAATGAGGGATAGTTCTAACGCATACATTTTGCCCCCTTGGTTTCCACACCAACAACCTTGGAGCCTTGGAGTATGAGCTTGAGCGCTGGCGTCTCCGTTATGATAGTGAGATTAGATGGTGCCCCATCCAATAGATCAGTTGCCGTCACTCTTCGGCCCTGGTGAGATGAATTGATGACCAAAGCCATTCCAATTGGGTCTCCCGAGTTGTGGTCAGGGTTGTGAGTCAGGCCAGCCTGCTCGAACACATCCATCATGAGAGGAAGATCCTGCTCCCATTCAGCCGCATAGCCGACCTTCAGACCCCCCTGGGAACCGTGGTCCGAGGTATTTGGGGTCGCATATTTGCTGTGCTTTGGGTCCACAATGGCACCGTTGAACGTCTCCAACTGCTTGAATCGAGCTTGCATGCGCTCCCAGCGAAACAAGTCATCACCAACAAGCCCAGCCCATTGGTTATAGTCGTCTCGCGCACCCACGGTGTAGACCCCGAAGTTGATGGCACTGCTGCCACCCAGCACCTTGCCCCGAGAATAGTCGATCTGTCGACCATTACAGTGCTCTTGCGGGGTGGTCTTGTAGCCCCAATTCAGGTCCCCATTCATAAAGGTTTGCCATCGCTGGCCGTCCACACGCAGCGATGGATCATCCTTACGAGGGCCGGCTTCAAGCAGGAGGACCTGAGGGCGTCGCGCTGACCGAGCGAGTCTTGAGGCAAGGGCACAACCCGCCGGGCCACCTATAATATCGTTAGGTGAAAAGGTCCTGATCAATGAAGAGAGCTATCATACTGACCACCCACAACGATGAATTCCCACGTCTGGTCAGCCGAGGCCATTGTAAAGTCAAGAGTACTACCTTGTCGGCAGCCGTAACACAGCGATAAGAACAGTGTGTCTCACAAGACAAAAGGTTCACAAGTCAGAAGAGCAGATGCCCCAAATAAAGGCAACTGACAGAAGCTTGGCGGGTGGGACTTCCATTGTGTCTAGTCCTGGGATCGACAGTAAGATACGAATGACAACCCCGCAACGTTCGCACCCTATCCATTCCCGGCCAACCTAAAGGACGGAACCAGAGACGGCTTACACCGTTATATTGTGAGCTGCCGTGTCTTGGGTCAAGTCAGCCGTGCGGACACATCATGGGCTATTCCAGGCCCACAAAGTCAAGACTAAGTGAGTTGGACGTCTCTAGGCAAACTGTTGAGGTCCACTCAAAGCCGTTCAGAGTGATGATCTTTGAGTTTCGCGGCGCAAAACCGACTGCTCTATTTCCCCGAGACCTTCCCTCCTCAGGGGCATTTCCGCAGTGGAATTAACGCATTGTCTTAAGGAGCTAACAGCATGCATAAGCTTGACAGGGATCATCTTCCTAGCCGCCCTGCTGAATGCTCCTTCGCCCACCACTAGTCGTCCAGCTGTTTGCCATTGGTGGAAGTGAACACGAGCGAAGATGGGAGAAGACATAGCATTCCAGCGCAGGCCTCTGTAAGCCGGCTAGACCAGAATTGTCGGGTATGCGACCGGGGGGTACGAGATCAGATACTGCTCGGCGGAGTTCATGAAGAGCTGCAGAAACGCGAGGTCGAGAAAACTTGCATAATGCAATGCAGTTTGCTGCAGAAGCTTATCACCCCCCGCCTCGTTCTTCTTCTCAATTTTCTTCTTTGTTCCTCCTTCACGACTGAACAGACAAATGGACGCCCGCATTATTTCCTCCCCAGGCCTCATCCGTCTGGTATTCCAGGTCCGAACTTAGCGCCCGAGCAGCAGAGTCGATCGGCACGGCGATGAGGACAACATATGGGGGCCTCTTAGACTCTGGATCGATGT